TTCTAGTTGTGTGTTCAGAGCTTTAATCAACTCTTCTTGTTCTTTTATTTCTGTCTGTACTTTACTAAGGATTTCTTCTTTCTCGTTAAGTTGCCCAGAAAGATGGCTGGCTTCTTCCTCCTTTTGGCTCATGAGCTTTTGAAGTTTATCTAGCTCAGGCTGTAATGTTCTTAGATGTTCTAGGCTAGCAATTTCTAGTTGACAGCTTTCCAATTTTTGCTTCAGACTTTCTACGTGGTCCTCAGCTTCACAAGATGATGTCTTCAGACTCTGGATTTCTAAATCCTGTTTATTTATCTGCTCTTGTAGCTGAAATACCTCTTCTGATTTTTTAGTAAGCTCATTTGTTGTGGAACTAACTTTAAATTCTAATTCTTCCTTCTCAGCCTGTACTTCTTTCAGCTGGGCCTTAATTTGGTCAACAGAAGTATCATCCTGGAGAACATTTTTATCTCCAGGATGAGATGGTAAGGCTGGGCACACATTTGACCCTAACATCAGTTGAGTAGGATGCTGTTCACTCCCTTTGAATAAAGGCTTCTCTGAAGGTTGAGTGGGATAGTCAGGTTCCTGCTGGTCAGTGTCTGGGAGTTTTCTGTCTCTGGACTCCCTTAATTGAATCTGGACTTGCCTTAGCTGGGCTCCAATGTTTTCATTTTCCTTGCTTTGCTCATCAAACTGCTCTTGCAAGCAATTATAGTCATCTTTTTGTTGCTTTAGCTCCTCCTTAAGATGTCTTTCTCTCTCTTGTGCCTTTTTTAGAATCACCTTACGTGAAGTCAAGGCTTCCTGAAGTTTTTTATGAAGTTGCTCCTTTTCTTTTTCAAGATTCAGTATCTTTTCTTCCATTTCTTTTTTCCAGGGCTCTGTACTACCAGCAGTGTCTGGATCATTCCCTAATGTTTCTTTTACATATGCTGCTGAGTTTCCATTACTGGCATCCTTGTGACCTGTGGTTAACTTCTGAATAACCGCTTGGCTTTCAATGATTTCTGCTTGGAGCAAATCTATTTGGTTTGTCTTATCTTGCAGGTTCTGATTTATCTGTTTGACCAGAGCCTGTAACTGTTCTTCTGCTACCACCTTTTCTTCCAAATCCTTCCTTACATGCAATAGTTCTGCTTCTTTTTCGGATATCATTTGTTTTAAGGACATTTCTAGTTCTTGCCACTTAGAAATTAGACATTTCTCTGAGTCTTCCTTGTTTCCTTTATCTTCTTCTGCTTTCTTCCTCTCACTTTCAATGAGTGCAATCTCTTTCCTGGATTCATCTCTAACTTTGGCTAGTTCCTCTTCTAATGTACTGACTCTATGAAGAAGCTCCTTTCTGTTAATAAGAGCTGCCTGAAGTTTTCTCTTTCTTTGCTCACTTTCTTTCTTTAGACGATCTAATTCATGTTGAAGTTCTTCTTTACTTATTAGGCCTTCTGGGCTTGACTCCTCATAATTATGTTTACGGCCTGAAATAACTTCATTATCTTCTTCCACTTGTTCTTTTTTCACTTCTTCAGCTCTAGATAGTAAGTTCAGCTGTTCTTTAAGAGTCTTAATTTCAACCCCAAGAGAAAACTTCTCTTCATTAAGCTGAACCATTTTCTCAGTCATACTGAAACTGAGTTCTGTCACTTGTTGATCTTTCTCCTCAACAGTTTGTTGGAGCATCTCTACTTCACTCTTTTTCTCTAGTAAAAGTTGATCCATTTTTGCTATTTCAAATTCCTTCCGTGAAAGAACCTGTGAAAGCTCTTCCACCTTATTTGAGATGTCCCTCACACGCTTGGCCTCCTCGCGCACTTCACTTTCCTTCGTCTGCAGCTGGCTTTGCAGGTTTTTCATCAGGGTGCCCTGCTCAGAAAATTGCAGCTGGACATCATCCAGTTCTTTCTGTAAAGCCTCAATTTTTACATCTTTAGATTTCACTTCTATGTGGAGACTGTGGATCTGCTCAGTGAGCAGGTTGTGCTGAGTTGTTTGGCTTTCATAGTCCAATCTTCTTTGCCTTTCTGTTTCTGAAAGGCTCATTTCCAATTCTTTTACCTGAGCCCTTAGTTCAGCTAGAACATTAAGTTCCTTTACCTGAGAAAGAAGCTGGTCTCTTTCTTCAGACAAAGCAGTGAATGCAATACTGCTATCTTCAGCATTCTTTTTAAATTCTTCAACTAGCTGAGTAAGGCTGCTAATTTCCTTAGTTTTCTCATCTAAAGTTTTCTCATAGATTTCTTCTGACTTATGAAAGCTTGTCTCGAGCTCTAAAATTTGACTTTTTAGCCTTTTCAATTCATCTTCATAATACTGACCAATATCTGACACAGAAGGAGATTTATCAACACTGTCCTGATCTGTTGATTTAAATTCCATTCTAGTGTCACTAAGAGGTATTTCCTCAGATGGTCTATGTTCGTGGTCTGTGCTTGCCTGTTTCTCTTTTTCAAATGCTGGAACATCGCTTCCTTCTTTGTGCATTAGGGGAAAATCCAGTGATGTATCTTCAGGAGATACTTTCATTTGTATTGGAGGTATTCCTTCACTCTCCATCTCTTTCAATTCATTCTTGTTTAGGTTCTCATGGTCCTCCTCTTCAGCCCTTTTTCCCTGGAGCTGTGATTTAAGAAATGCAATTTCCTCTTGAGTTTCTTTCATTTCTACTAATAAGACTGATAATTCTTTATGTTTCTGAAAAGATGTGCTTTCTACAACATCGTGTCCAATTTTATCGGTAAAAGAGTCGTTCTTGTTAAGCATGGTAGAGCCAACTGTGTTGATCTATTAAAAAAATTAATAGGGAAGGAGAAATCCTTAGGTACATGTTTTATAATATTAAAAAAACACCTAACTAAATATTGGTATTTTATGCATTTTTTAAAACCTGAAACTTTTTTTGATCCAACCTTCCTTTATACTAGAAATTAACTTTTTAAAATGAGTTTATATCTCCAAAATTGAACCTCTAGCAGAATTATGTTAATCCCATGCTGAGTTCAAGTTTGACACATAGAACCTAATAAACTTGGGATTTTCTAGATATTCCATACATGAAAACTGCTAACTTTTTCTCCTAAGAACGGCTTAAAGGGCTGGCACTATAGCTCAGTAGTAGAGTACTTGTCTAACATGTGCAAGGGCCTGGTTTCATCTCCAGTGCAGCAAAGAACAAAAACAAAAACAAAAATCAAAGAAACAAAAAAACCCCAAAACATCCCAACCAAATAAACAACTAACCAACCAAAAAAGAACTGCCTAATACCAAAATAGCTGGTGGCTCACACCTGTAATCCTAACTACTCAGGAGGCTGAGATCTAAGAATTGCAGTTCAAAGCCAGCCTGGGCAAGAAAGTTCATGAGATTCCTATCTCCATTTAACTATCAGAAAACCAGAAGTGGCACCATGGCTCAAAGTGGTATAACCTCAAGCAAAAAGCACTCAGGGACTAGCCTCAAGCAAAAAACACTCAGGGACAGCACCCAGAGCCCAAGCTTAAGCTCAATGGCTGACCAAAAAAATATATAATAAAATAGTAAATAAATTAAATCTTCATTTTATTCTATACAAGAAGGAAGTTATGGGATTCTTTTTCTTAAACTAGTCACTGAAATAAGAAAGTTGCAAGTATTAGATGCAATAGCCAAAAGACAAGTAGATTATCAGATGAATGCATTCAAACTACCAGCAACAAATAAAAAATGAGCCCCAGTGGTGTATATGCATGAAATTACAGATGTCTCTGGCACATATAAACCAAATAATTATAAAACTATGGTGTGAAGCTCAAAACAAATTACCTCTGGGGTACTTTCTGAAAATCGTGAAACTCAAAATTTCAATTAGCATTTTATTAAATGTATTAGGAAGCAGGAAACAGTGAAATTTCCAGCTTTCAATGACACCAGTGTTTTTCCTCCCAGAAAAAAATTCTAACTTGATGGGGAAGAAAAAAAAAAGCAAAAACAAGCACAGATAGGGCTGTCAAAAATGCAATGACTTGGTGATACAAGTTCTGTATGGTAGAGTGGACTGTTTTATTTCTTGGTCCTACCATTTACTTGCAGAAGCTGCACATAGTAAGTATAGCTATCATCTTGGTATTCTACAACTACTGAGAAACAACAAAATCCCGTTTTAAAATTATTCATTATCATAAGAGGGGAAAGGAACGTCAGGGACAAATGAGAGTGTGTATGAATGTGATCGAGGTATGTTGTATGCACATGAAGACATGTCAAAATGAAACCCTTTTATAGAACTAATTGATGCTAATAAAAATCTCATTTTTCATAAGTACTATTTTAATCATTTAAATCATTGCTCTAACTTGGCACTGGTAGCTCACTCCTATAAGGGAGATGACCTTTTTGAATGCTGCTAGGCATCGAGTAATCAGATCAAGTTCTTAACCGAAAAAAATAAGACTGAAAATGAGTGAATCCCTCTTGCAGACCCACACTTTAGACTCAAAACTTCAAATCTCCCTGTGTCAGACAGGCTACCTGGTCTACCTGGGTAGATTTTTGAACTGGTCAACATGAGTCACATGAGTCACAATTAATCTCTCTACATATACATCCTATCGTTTAAGGATACAGGTGGACCCGTTGCAACTCTGAGAAGTACAAGTTGTCATGTCGAAAACGAACTTTACAACTTTGGTGCGGGGGAAGTGGGGAGAGGCTGGGAAGGGATGTGAAGGGTAAACAAAGGAGGAGGCTGCAATGCTTGATAAGAAATGTACTCATTATCTTGCCCATGTAATTGTAACCCCTCTGTACAGTATGTTCACAAAAAATAAAAATTAAAATTAAAAAATAAAAAAATAATTATAATACATGTAAGAAGATACTTCCTTTAGAAACTATATATTCTAAAAGCCATTTATGTTTCTACTACTGAGTTACTGTCTTGAAGAACATAGCTAACTTAACACAATACAGCTACAATAAACTTAAATAAACAGAATATTAAGTGATCATATATTTCTTTCTCTTTTCTATTTTATTTTCTTAGGAGAAGAGAACTTTATTGCACAAAGAAAGAGGAAATTGCCCATGGATATGAACAGGGGGCCAGAGCTGGTGATCTCCAAACATTTATTTCTACTAGTAAATTTCAGGTTATAAAATGGACCATTTTCTAAACAGATCTTTTTTATATAATCCTAAGTAAAGCTGTACTAAATAAGCTGTGAGAAACTCAAAAGGTTTTTTGTTTAGTTTTCCTTTCATAGAGGACAGTGGTAGGTAGCCCTGGCTGGCTTTGAAATTATGATCATTCTGCCTCATTTCCTTAGTGCTGAGATTATAGCCATATGCCATCAAGGTCCAGTACAGTGACTTAAAAAAATTTATTTGACCACAAGTGAAAAACTTTCCTGAAATAAACAAAGTAAAAGCTACTGTACTTGTGACAATTTTTGGCCACCAGAATGCCAAATGAGAAATTCTAACCATTATGAATTTCTTAAATAGATCTCACTCCATGGATCATGCCAATACTAGAAAAGTGCATAGATGTTTAGATTTGAAACTGTCCATTCTAGTCATCCTAAGAATGTATCTCTTACCTCGGAGACACCACTGTCTGCTTCCCCAGTTCTATTTTGAGCCTCCAGGAGAGTAATCCGAGAAGAGAGTTTTTCTGAAATTCACAAAATAAAATCTTTAGAAAATATATGTGGAGGGTTTAAAACACCAGACATAATGACATGGGAAGCTATTGAAATGCATGAAATAATCTAAAGGAAAGAAATAAACAGATAGTTTGGAGGACATAAAAAACTTGTTCTGTTAAAGTAAGAAATAGTTGATATGAGAAGATTTATAGATAAAATAGAAACAGGTGATGATAATGAGCCTGACAGTAGTACTCTGAACAGTGAAAGGCTTGAAAGGGACAGATGTCAAGGCAGCTGATTATGTCAGTTATTTTCTATGGCATAATCTGGATCTCCCAAGGAAAAAAAATGTGTCTTAACTTATCCAGGATTTTACTGTGCTCAGTTTGCATGAATACAATATTTAAAATTTTCATTTAATCTAATTAATCTAATCTATAATTTATATATTTTAAATGTCTTCAATATTGTACTGATAAAGACACTAATGCTTCACACTAAAAGGATGAGCCAATCTTTTCAATGACTAAATGGAAAAAAAATGAATGATGTGAGTAGATTATAGAATAACTAGCATTAAGAAAGCTGTGATCACTTAACAATGTATGTATCTAAAAAGGATCTAAATAACTCAAAAATAAATAAAAATACACATTAATAGTAAAATCCTCAAAATGCTTGCTTACATTCTTTTTGATAAACTAAAACACTAAAAAAGTATGGTTTTTATATAATGTGTAAATATCTTGCTCAACATGACCTACAAGGGGCCCCATGCTTTGACTCCACTTATTTTCCCAAGTTCTTCTCCTTTGTTTACTACAAAAACAATGACCTTTATTTGTTCTGAAAACTAGTCAAGTTCATTCAGGACATTTGAACTTTTTTTTTCTTCAGCATTTGCCCTGTCTTTTCTTAGCCTATTTGTATGGATATCCCCCTTTCATTATTTAGGTATCAACTTTCTAAACAGGCCTACTGAAACCTGCTGTATGAATGGAGGAAAGTAAATTCATGAGACAAATGAATTTAAGACAGTACTTAACATATGTTCAGATATTTCACAGATTATTAGAAGAAGGGGTATAGTGGTAAAAATAATGCAAAAAAGTGAGTCAAACAGAATAATGACACATAAAGCAAAAGTAAACTGTGAAATCAGACACACAAATAAAAAAATTAATAAAAAGCCAATTATCACTTCATGAAAGAAAATAGAACTCATATAATACCTTTAAACCACATGAACAAAATAGGAACTCTTTGCTAAATTGCAAAATAAGCATCATAGATAAGCTCTTAAAGAAATGCTTTCTGTGGGTAAAATAGCAGAATCTGCAAGCTTTTAAAAAACCTTTTACTAAAAGTGCATAGTCCCTGGTTTAGAGTGAAGTGGAAAACTGAGATAGTTAAGTTGGAAATATTAGCTCTCAAGTTTAATAAAAATTTGTAAACTTCATCTGGTATTCTTTTTTACTCCTATTAGACAAAACCTATTAGAGTCCATAAATGCAGGATGAATTAAATTAGTAAAGCATTATCAATTATATGCTACTAAATCCATAAGGGCCTTGTGAAGCAAATGATAAAAGGAAAGAAATATTTCTTCATTCTTACAGCTTATATATAGTCCAATGGAATAAAATACTAGTAAGTTCAGTTCAACTTAATAAAACTTTAACTTAGTAGCCACTACTAGTCTAATTTTAGGTAAATCAAACATTTAAAAATAGCCTTTGCCCTTAAAGGACTTATACTTTACCACTGAAAAACTTACAATAAAAAAGGAACCCTACTGCATTGCTGGTGGGAATGTAAACTAGTACATCCACTCTGGATAGCAGAATAATGGTTCCTCACAAAACTGAAGATAGATCTTCCCCACAGCCCAACCATACCATTCCTGGGCATCTACCCAGAACATCACCATCCCGGATACCATTAAGACTGTTGCACACCCATATTTATTGCTGCACTATTTACAATAGTCAAGTTGTAGAAACAGCCAGCCCTGATGCCCTAAAATAGATGAGTGGATCAAAATTATATGGTACCTATACCCAATGGAATTTTACACAGCTATTAGAAAGAACAATGTTATATCATTTTCAGGGAAATGAATGGACCTAGAACAAATCATGTTAAGTGTAGTAAGCCTAGCTCAGACAGACAAATAGTGCATGTTTTCTCTCATATGCTAGAGAAGCTAGTATCTCACATACCAGGACATAATAAATGATACAGGTCTCTAGGCATTCACACAAAGTGAGACCAAAGGAGGATACTTTAGGAGAGGAACAGAAAAGCACAATGCTTATGTTCATTTGATCATACAAAATATTATTTATCGAAATGAACTCCAGGAAATATAAGCAAGAGTGTTTTTGCCTTTTTTTGCTTTTTGTTTTCTTTTCTTTTTGTTACATGCCTTTGGGAGTGTAAGAGAAGCATAGAAATGGAGAGACAAAGGATGAACAACCGTATTCAACAGCAACAGTATTCAACTGGATACTATGTTGAAAATGAACTGCATAACATGTGCGTAGTGATGGAAAGGAAAATCTAGGACAGAGTGAGGAAAGGACTGACATTGTCCAAAAAGAAATGTAATCTTGGGGCTGGGAAGGTGGCTCAGTGGTAGAGCAGTTGCCTTGCATGCTCGAGGCCCTGGGATTGATTCCTCAGCACCACATAAGAAAAATGCCGGAAGTGGCGCTGTGGCTCAAGTGGCAGAGCGCTAGCCTTGAGCTGAAGAGCTGAGGGACAGCGCCCAGGCCCAGAGTTCAGGCCCCACAACCAAAAAAAAAAAAAAAAAAAAATGTACTCTTTACCTGACTTATGTAAACGTAGCCCCTGTGTACATCACCTTTACAATAAAATTTCAAAAAATGAAATCTTAGAATAAAAAAGGCAAACATATAAACAAACCATTCTAATATGTAAGAATATTATGGAAGCACAAAAATGCTTTGAATCTACAATCAGAGTTAAAGTCCTGAGAAACCAGAACTGGAATTGAGGCCTCAAAGGAATAACTAGCTTGAAGGAAAGAGGTAGGATTCAAGTGAAGTATTAGCATGAGAAAAAACAAAAATGGATTGTACCTTTCAACTTTTATCTTGATTTGTTATTCATTTCATATTTTTTAACCAAGAAAGCTTTCTTTCCTTATTTTGCCTACTAAAAAATTCATCTTATTAAAGTCTCAGTCCAGTCCTACTTCCAAAAAGACACCTCTGCCCATTCCCAAGTGCATGTAAATTACATAGAAATTCTGCAGTATTTGCAACTCACATTGAAAAATGTTACATTTCCATAAACACTAGTATTGTGCTATTATTTAATATATGTTAATCTTATTTTGGTAACTATGAGCTCTGCTTTATTAAGATCTTTATTATCAGAGAACCAGAAAATCAGCATATTATATAGTGTTAAGAACAAAGGCACTTGAGGGGTAAGAGAATTGTGGTTTCCATTTATACATACCATTCTCAGCTCTCAGTTCCTCCAGCTCTATAGAACTAAGGAGCAAGGCTCCTTTTTCATTTTCTAGCTCTATCACTTTCTTCTGTAAAGAGGCAATATTCTCCTCGGTGACTGCCTAAATTGTAAAAAGACAAAAAAAAATTAATGATTCTTTAGTGAAAAATCTCTTATACTAATAATGTCCAGATGAACTCTAGCATTTTTGTCTTCTAAAAGTTCTTTAATTAGAATACTTGAAAAATGCTGTCTGTAATCTACCTAGATAATCTCTGAAGAATTTTTTAACCTGAAGCTAAAAGAAGAAATAAAATATTTCACATAAATTCCCAGTTCATTCATTTCTGAATGTAAGACTGACACCTGGATTACAAAGATAGAAATCCAAGATTTGTAGCAATTAAACATAAGATTAGTGATTCTAAGCATCAAGTTCTCTCTCTCAAAGAATAAACATGAAAGAAAGGCTCAAGGAAACTAGGAAGGAGAAAAAACTATTTTTTGTTTTTTTGGTTTTTTGTTTTTTTGTTTTTTTTAGCATGAGAAAAAACAAAAATGGATTGTACCTTTCAACTTTTATCTTGATTTGTTATTCATTTCATATTTTTTAACCAAGAAAGCTTTCTTTCCTTATTTTGCCTACTAAAAAATTCATCTTATTAAAGTCTCAGTCCAGTCCTACTTCCAAAAAGACACATTTTGGTTTCCCAAAATGGGGAAAAATCTAGGTAGAACCTGCCCAACTTCCTGAATTGAGAAGCCATAGCTAAGATCAAGGGAGGAGTTCACAGAATACCGTCACACAGAACATCTATGAATGGTCTTCAACGAATATTTAGCTTAGCTGTACAGTACAGTGTATAGAATATAAGACACTATCCAAACTACCCAAACTGTCTTAAGAACTTAGAAAATAGCACTGGGTGATAATTCAGGACTTATTAAAGAGTATCAGTTTACACAGACATATGGGAAAAACTGATTTTTCACATGGCATTAAGTCAAATGCTTAGCAAGGTATATTGC